TCAAGGTGGCTACGAACTGCCTCGGCAATTATTGATTCCATAAATTTTCCCACTATGGAGGTTAGGCTTATTGGTCTATAGTTCGAAGCTAAGGACCTGTCACCTGTTTTGAAAATAGGTATCACATTTGCCATTTTCCACTTATCTGGCACCATGCCAGTTTGTAGTGATATGTTGAAAAGATTAGCCAAAGGTGTGCTAAGCTCCTCTTTACATTCCTTTAGAACCCTTGCATACAGTTCATCAGGGCCTGGGGATTTGTTAGGTTTTAATTTATCTATTTGCCTAAGGACCATGTCACTTGTGACCCTAATAGTGCACAGTTTATTATCGTCCTGTTCTACATAATTTATCATTACTGGAATATCGCTGGTATCCTCCTGTGTAAAAACTGAGAGGAAGTATGTGTTAAAAATTCTACACATTTCCTTATCACTGTCAGTGAGCTGACCCGAGGAACTTTTGAGTGGGCCTATCTTGTCCCTGATCTTACTTCTGTATACCTGAAAGAATCCTTTTGGGTTAGTCTTCGATTCTCTTGCAACTTTAACCTCATAATCTCTATTTGCTTTTCTAATTCCTTTTTTATTTCTCTCTTTAACTGAATATATCGATTTCTTAATTGCCCCTCTCCTCTTTTGATTTGCCTATATATGCCTCTCTTTTGACCAATCAGATATTTTAATCTATTGTTCATCCATTTAGGATCATTTTTGTTTGATCTGATTTCCCTATTTGGAACATAATTTGACTGAGCAGCTAGAACTATGCCCTGGAAAGCATCATATCGGCAACCATCACCACCTACCTGACCCCTAGTCAGGTCATTCCAGTTCAGCCCACCTAAGTAATTTTTCAGTCCTATGAAATCAGCCAAGCGAAAGTCAGGGACGGAGACTTGATTGCCATTATTAGGGGAATTCCATGATATGTTAAAACTGAGTGATTTGTGATCACTCTCCCCAAGCTCATCATTAACCTCAAGATTATTAATTAGTGTTTCCCTACTGGCAAGAACCAAGTCAAGGAGGTTATTTCCCCTAGTTGGCTCTGTCACAAACTGTTTTAAAAAACAATCCTGGATCGTATCAAGAAAGTCACCCGACTCTAAATTTCCTGTCAAATTGCTCCAGTCAATCTGTCTATAGTTGAAATCTCCCATTAGCACAACATTTTCGTATGTAGATGCCTTACGAATTTCGTCCCATAGAAGTTTACTGCACTCCCTATCAAGATTTGGGGCCCTGTAAATCACACCCAAAATTAGTTTTTCTCGGCCCTCGAGAAGCTGTAACCAAACAGATTCAGTGGCTGACGCTTCTAATTTAATATCTTGTCTAACACAACAATTTAAATTGTCTCTGACATACATCGCTACTCCACCACCTTTCCTGTTGACCCTGTCAGTGTGGAATAATTTATAGCCTTGTATGTGACATTCAGAGGGCATCTCTCTATCTTTCAGATTGAGCCAGGTCTCTGTTATAGCAATAATATCTATGTTTCCTGCACTTGCAATTAATCTTAGCTCATCTATCTTATTTCTAACACTCCTGCTATTAGTATAGTAAACCTTAAGGGAGCTAGTCCCTTGCTGCCCTCTGCTGTCCCCCTTTGTTTGCTGACCTGTTCTATTGTCTTTATTTATAACTTCATGCTGAATGCGTTTCCTTACACCTGCTCACCTAGAGGCAAATAGACACCCGGGTGTTTGTCGACTGGTGTGGGTCGCATCCTGGGGGGACAAAATTGACGACCACAATGAGACAGTCCTCGATGACGCACTTTCTTGGGTTATCCAGGGTGGCTAACCCTCCAGGGTTAAAAATCTGAAGAAAATTTTATCATATTTCTTGAGCTTTGTATATTTTTTTTTATATTTGCCGATACTAGATAATAAGAACATAAGAAAAAAGGAACACTGCAGAAGGCCTACTGGCCCATGCGAGGCAGGTCAAAGTCTCCTACCGGCTTAAGCCAATGCCCCAACCTAGTCAGGCCAGGTCACATTCACTTAAGGAAGAAACACAATACTAGATAATGGTCCAAGTCGGACCGAAACATCGTCGAAAGTTCCAGTGATAAACGTGTGGATAATTTACTGTTCCAGTCATGGTATTCTGCTTTATTTATTATTTATATTTGCGATTTTATTAAATAGTTATATTATTATAATAAAAAAGAAGCGCTAAACCACGAGGGTTATACAGGTTATTAGTCTCCCAAGTAAGATAAGATAAGATTTCGTTCGGATTTTTAACCCCGGAGGGTTAGCCACCCAGGATAACCCAAGAAAGTCAGTGCGTCATCGAGGACTGTCTAACTTATTTCCATTGGGGTCCTTAATCTTGTCCCCCAGGATGCGACCCACACCAGTCGACTAACACCCAGGTACCTATTTGCTGCTAGGTGAACAGGGCAATAGTGTAAGGAAACGTGTCGAAATGTTTCCACCCGCCGGGAATCGAACCCGGGCCCTCCGTGTGTGAAGCGGGAGCTTTAGCCACCAGGCCACCGGGCCACCTTTAAGTAATAACTAGAGAATGTATTTTCTGATCAGCTTCAAACTCTAAATGCTGGTTTATCTTAATTTGACATAGTTTTGTATTGATTTTGGGCTGCGTGGGTGCCAATTTGCATTTTTTTTAAGGAATTTCATCAAAATAGAATTTCTGAAAAAGAATCTAAAATATTTTTTCTTATAGGACTGTAGAAGATTTTACATAGAAAATGAATGAAAAACGAACGAGGAGAGACTTTCCTATTTTCGGAACAGTTTCAGCATAATTTTTCTTTTCTTTCTTCAGAATTATGATTCATTACTCGAGAATGCCTTATTCGATCAGCTTCAAATTTTCAATGCTAATGTACTGTATCTATGGTAAGATTCATGCTATTATTTGTAAGGATCTGCCTTGTATGGGCCAGTAGGCCTTTTGCAGTGTTCCTCCATTCTTATGTTCTTACGTGGATGCCCTATAAAGAGCGTTACATAACTCACGAAATCGTAATGACACGATTGCAAACAAACCATACCACGGGTGGGGATTGAACACGCGATCAGAGTCACAAAACTCCAGTGGCTAACGCGTCGGTCTGGAGTTTTGTGACTCTGAACGCGGGTTGTAACCCCCACTCGTGGTATGGTTTGGAGCGTTAAATAGGCCTTGATGTCCTCTAGATAGCGTTACATAGGCCTGGATGCCCTCTACAGCATTATATAGGCCTGGATGCCCTCTTGAGAGCCTTACATAGGACTGGATACCCTCTAGAAAGTGTTACATAGGCCTGGATGCCTCTAGAGATCGTTACATAGGTCTGGATGCCCTCTAGAGTGTGTTACATAGGCTTGGATGCCCTCTAGAGTGCTACATAGGGATAGATGTCCTCTAGAGAGTGTTATTTTGGCCTGGATGCCCTCTTGAGAGCGTAACATAGGCCTGGATGCCCTCTAGAGAGCGTAACATAGGCCTGGATGTCCTGTAGAGGGCGTAACATAGGCCATTCCCTGATTTTACCATGTCATGACTAGAAAATTTCTTCTGATCTGCTTGAACATACATCACTCTCCAGATTGTTTCACTTCCTCAAAACTCTATGGCTAAAGAAATATTTCCTAACATCCACATGACCCATCTGAGTTTTCAGCTTCCAGTTGTGTCCTGTTGTTCCCTTGTCCCATTTCTGAAACATTCCTGCCCTGTCCACCTTTTTAATTCCTCTCAGTACTTTCTACGTTTTCATGATGTCCTCCCTATCCCTCCTGTCCTCCAGGGTCGTCGAGTTGATTTCCCTTAATTTCTCCTCATAGAACATACCAGTTTGCTCCGGGAATAGTGCTGTTGCGAAGTTTTGCACTTTCTCCAATTTCTTGACATGTTTGACCAGGTGTGGGTTCCATACTGGGGCATGACATACGCAGAGTACAGTGACGTGAATGACTCCTTACCTAGATGTCGAAACACTGTTCATAGGTTTGCCAGGCGCTCACATGTTACAACGGTTATTTGGTTGATGTGAGCCTCAGATGTGCTCAGTATGATGCTCACCCTAAGATCCATTTCCTTGAGTGAGGTTTGCAGCCTTTGCCACCATAGCTTATACTCCGTCTGTGGTCTTCGTTGTCCTTCCCCAGTCTTTATGACTTTGCACTTGGATCAGGCTTGCAGCCTGTCCAGATCTTCTTGTAGTCTTACCTGATACTTGCCCGCCTGTATTCTCCTCATTAACTTCACATCCTCTGCAAAAAGGGAATTCTCTGAATGTAGGGAGAATGAGAGAAGGGTAGTAAGAGCAGAGAGAAACCAGGTATTGAGTGTTGGGTTCCCAAAAGTGTATTTTGACATTTAATGGTATTATTTTCCTCAATGCAGCAACTTCTTTTGCATTTTAATTTTGTATTCTTCATTACTTTAGAATAATAATAAAAATAATAGCAAAAATCTTTATTTCTACAAGCACACTGTACAAGGCATACAGGCCTAGCTGACATCAGTGACATACTACTATATACAAAGCTCCTTGTTATGCAGAGCATTTCGGGCAAATTAGGTTAATTTTGTTCCAGGATACGACCTACACCAGTTGACTAACACCCAGGTACCTAGTTTCCTTAAGACAGCAGGTGTCTTAAGGAATCACGTCCTACTGTTTCAACCCGTACCAGGGATCTGTCCCCAGACGTCATTGTATGAACCAAGTGCACTAGCAATCGAACTACGGGACACCTATGTAAATTATTTCCTTCTATACATTCTAGTTTGGATTTGAGGTTCATTTTGCATCATTTTGGTTTATTTAATTTTTAATGTAAGAGTATGCAATAATGTGAGATATATATTGTATAATCATTCATTCATTGAGGCAGTAATGCATCCAAAATATTACTGTACACAATTTGCGAAATGTCATGTGGATGTTGATTTGAATTTTTTTATCTCTATGCATTTAAAAAAGTATTAAAATATATTTTTATCTCTTTTTTTTTATTTAATGTGTAGGTGGATTGTCTGGTATGTTCCGGTGGGAGGCGAGTGACCAGGTTCGTGATACGGGATCCCATGTCTTCACAATCGCTGCAAAGGAACTGCATCTCTCTCTACACCATAACAAGGAGCTGTGGGTGTTCCCCATGATGCAACAACCCATTACTCCGGCTGTTCTGCTTACTCACACCAATGACTATGATCCCAACCGTTCTGTGGTCTATATTGTGCGTCAGCCTCCTTTACTAGGCCAGCTACTGCTAGAGGAGGCGGGTGTTAGAATACCTGTTGATAATTTTACCCAAAGGCACATCAATGAATCCCGTATTGTGTTTGAGCACAGTAAACCCTTTTCAGAGCTTTCTGCTAGTGATCTATTTGTGTTTGATGTGGAAACGCCATTTGCAGAACCATTAAAAGACCAAGAATTTCACGTGGAGGTGTCTGTGGCTAGTCCAGGAGGGGGAGGTTTGGAGAGGTACCTAGGACTTGCACCTCTGGTGGTAGCTGAAGGAGGACAAGCCACTCTGCGCCCTGATAATCTCAATCTCTCTGCAGTGGTGGAATTTATCGAGGGTTATCCTGTTGCTGTGGGCATGGAACGACCCTCACCAAGACTAGTGACTACTGTGACTGTCATCCCAGCTCATGGCGTGTTCTCTTTACGAAAGAGAAACCTTACAGAAGGTTATACCTTCACAGCTAGAGATGTAGAGAAAGGTCGTGTTAAATACGATCATGACCATAGTGATACACTCTCAGATGTGTTAGGGTTTACTGTTTCGTTGGCTGGTAATGGATCTTCTCCTGATGTCCTTTTATTCAATGGTACTCTGAATGTCAGTGTGACGCCTGTGAATGACCAGCCATTCACACTGGAGACTGCAGCACCTGTTCTGCAAGTGGTGCATCGGCAAAACGCTGTCATTACCAACGAGAGCCTCTTGACCACTGATCCTGACAACATACCTAGTGAGATTGTGTACGAGTTAATGAGTACTCCTGATCATGGACAACTAGTCTTGGCTCACAATTACAGTGCAACCGTTCAGTCGTTCTCTCAGCATGATGTGAACACAGGTCGCATTTTGTATGCTCATGATGGCACTAATGGTTCAGCCAGGTTTTCTTTCAAAGTGTCTGATGGAAAGCACAAAGTAAAATATTCTGTGTTCACAATTGAGGTTCAGCCATTGACGCTTGAACTAGTTAACCACTCCGTCATACCATTAAGACAGACTACAACTGTTGTCTATCTTTCACCTCATTATCTTGCTGCAGTGACCAATGGAAATCATAACCACATTTTCTACAACGTCACCAGACCTCCTAGGTTTGGTCGTTTGTACTTGAATGATCAAGTGGTACATACATTTGGGCAGGTGAACGTGGATAAGGGTGAAGTTCTTTATATGCAAATGGAGCTGAGTGAGCCTGCTGATAACTTCAGAGTAGATATATGGACGTGGGAGGCTACAGTGCAAGATGTGGAGGTTCGTGTTGTTGTTTTACCATTAGTGGAGTCTAAGCGACTTATAGCAGCAGTAGGAGGTCGTACACGACTCTCTCTCGAGCATCTCGATGCTTCGCAGCTTGCTATCACAACTGGAAGTAATCCTGTATATAAGGTCAAAAGGCGTCCCCGTTTTGGTCGAATAAAAAAAGTGAGCAGGCGATTACGGAGATCAGTTCGCTCACACGAAGTTCATGAGTTCACTCACGAAGAAATTAGAGCTGGTTTAATATATTACATTGCCAGAAATCTTAATGTTAAAGCTGATGAACCTTTGCATGATGCACTTCACTATGTACTGCAGGTTCCTGCACCTGGGGTACAGCCCGCTGAAGGAACCTTACATCTCACATTAGTAGAGGCAGGAGCAGTCATTGATGAGGGAGCAGTGCCTCCCAGGCACTTACGACCAGATCTCTTTCCACCTTCTATCCGTGGCAGTGCAGAGTCCAGCACTCCTGGGTCTGGGAGCTTTGGCTTGTTCCTGGGTATACCCAAAGAATATTTAATTATGATGTTAGCAGCAGTTGTTGTTGTAGTGGTTATTGTTGTTATAATCTTTGTGGTACAGTGTGCTACAAGACGTCGGCCCTCTGACAAGACAAGTGACACAGGAATTGATGCTGATGTAGCATCCTTGCCGCCACCTCTTCCATCAGATTCTAGACCTAATTCATTCATGTCCGATGACCTATTAGAGCTTGAATGTCGACCCCCAGATTTGTCATTGTCTCCCAGGCCTGGGCAGAACCACCTGCACCATCACCACCACCACCACCACAATGGTGGCAGTGGTGGGCTGGGTCTGGCAGCCCACCTCACAGACTCTGAGGCCTCATGGCCCCATGATGCCTCGCGTGAGGTGTCACCAGCAGTGCCTCAGTGTAAGGTACAGTTTGCCCTTTCACCCAAAAGCTAGTACTTTTTAACCTTAGTTTCCGTTTTATTTCTTTATATTTTCAAACATATTTTATTTCTAAAGTGATCTGATAATTGCAAAATACTCGTTTTGCAATTCTTAAGACACCGAGTTTATCTTCCTTAAAGCTCATGAAATCCAGTAGCTAAGTGCAAAAATTTTTCCTATCATTTTGTTTCTTGATTTTAATTTTTCGTTATTTATTTCCCCTTGGATGGTACAGGTGACGCCCCTGTGTACAGATACAGCGGCTCGTGATCCTACTTACGACCCTCTTCTAGCTGGCTATCCCTACGGAGTGGACTCTCAAGAGGCTGAGGAATGGGGAGTCTATGAGAAGCACCAGCCCAGGACCACTAACCCAATGCTCAGGAAGAACCAGTACTGGGTATAGAAATCAGCAGTACCTCTGTTAGTCGTGTAAACCGATCTGAACATTTACGAAGGGACAAAATTTTCACTGCAAGATAATCCAAGATTGTGGAAGTGTCAAAATAACTGAAGCAACAAATATTATATTGCACAAAACTGAGTCAGATTCCATTAAGCATTGCCAGCTGCTGCTGTACAATGTTTACAACCGTGTTTTAAGAACCTGCTTAAATATGTACTAATAATAATTCACTAAGTGGATTCACATATCACTGTATTTGATGGGTTTCATAAATGCATGTATTTACTGAAAAAAAAAATCGAAATTACAGATTATTCGTAAATGGAAGAAATCATTTTAAACAGTTAAATTCTGAAGTGCATCTGGATTTAAGAAAGGTGCACTGTTCTGAAATATTTTTGTTTGGCTAACGGAGAAAAGACTTTCCAATAAACAAAGAAAAAATCAAAACATGCATCTAGAATTTTATGCAACTCAGAGAAATTGCTCGTGGTTATAATAGCGAGAAAAGTTACAGGCCAGTGTTTTATTATTTAGTATACGAGGTCTCTGACGTTGCTTTGCTCAGGAAATTCACAAATTTTCAGTTTTCGGAAGCCGCTCATAAGCACAAAGTCTGCGCATGTCTTCACGAATTTGTGTAGATTCCGGTTTGCACGAACATGGAACTAAAGACTGTGCAGACCTTGAGTCTGTCTGCGCACTCTGATCATTAATCATATAGGCTTAGTTATCATGTGCCCCAATAATAATGGACAGAGCTTAAATTCGTGTAAATAATCAGGTCTGTGGCATATGTTATTCACCCACAGAAAAGTTAGTGCGTCCATCTTTGGCTGTTGCTGAGGCCTGCTACAGTAAGGCCAGGAGGGATGTACCTTGCCAAGGTAGCATAAATTAAGTGATACTCCTCATAATATTACGACCACTAATATCTTAAAGATGAGCCTCCCATCCATTAGAATATATATATATATATATATATATATATATATATATATATATATATATATATATATATATATATATACATGTGTGTGTGTGTGTGTGTGTGTGTGTGTGTGTGTGTGTGTGTGGAGTGCCAAATAGATAAACCTTGCGATTTTGGCTTTAATAACAATATTCTTCTTGCTAAATAAGGCAAGCAAAAATTTGTGTATGCAATAATTTTGCAAAAATTATTCTAAACCTAACGAAATATATATATATATATATATATATATATATATATATATATATATATATATATATATATATATATATATATATATAATTTTTTTTTCAACAAGTCGGCCGTCTCCCACCGAGGCAGGGTGACCCAAAAAAGAAAGAAAATCCCCAAAAAGAAAATGCTTTCATCATCATTCAACACTTTCACCACACTCACACATTATCACTGCTTTTGCAGAGGTGCTCAGAATACAACAGTTTAGAAGCATATACGTATAGAGATACACAACATATCCCTCCAAACTGCCAATATCCCAAACCCCTCCTTTAAAGTGCAGGCATTGTACTTCCCATTTCCAGGACTCAAGTCCGACTATATGAAAATAACCGGTTTCCCTGAATCCCTTCACTAAATATTACCCTGTTCACACTCCAACAGATCGTCAGGTCCCAAGTACCATTCGTCTCCATTCACTCCTATCTAACACGCTCATGCACGCTTGCTGGAAGTCCAAGCCCCTTGCCCACAAAACCTCCTTTACCCCCTCTCTCCAACCCTTTCGAGGACGACCCCTACCCCGCCTTCCTTCCCCTATAGATTTATATGCTTTCCATGTCATTCTACTTTGATCCATTCTCTCTAAATGACCAAACCACCTCAACAACCCCTCTTCTGCCCTCTGACTAATGCTTTTATTAACTCCACACCTTCTCCTAATTTCCACACTCCGAATTTTCTGCATAATATTTACACCACACATTGCCCTAATATATATATATATATATATATATATATATATATATATATATATATATATATATATATATTTATATATATTCCATTGTGTTTGTTTATTATAAAATTATTGTAAACTTATCTAAAATATTTATAGTTGCATTAGGAAAAAATTAAATTGCACTTGTTATAGTAAGGTTAGGTAAGTTTTCTAAGGTTATTTTGGTGCAAAATTATTAATTTTACATAAACATAAATGAAAAAAATGTATCTTTAAACATACAAGAGAAAATTTTGGAAGGGACTTAATTTTAAATGAGTTCTTACGAATTGACAAATTTTACCTATTCGGCATGACATATATATATATATATATATTCAGAACAATCACTGTGAAAAGAATAGTGAACGTCAGAGCACTATCGTGGTTCTCTTATACCCTGAAAACTTTCTTGAAATACTTTCTCTAATTAAGAATTTTAATACAAAGTTATATTTAAAAATCGTGATACAGTAAAAAAAAAGTTTGATTAAAAATTGCCCCCAAAAATGCTGACGGTTGTGTTTATAAGATTCCTTGTAAAAGATGTGATAAACATTTTTATGGTTAAACTTAGAAAAGTCTTAAACTAAGACTTCAACAAAATAAATACAGTGGACCCTCGAATTTCGTCATCCCTTTTCCATATGCAAAACTATAGTTATTCTTTATAAAATGTATTTTTTGTTAATATTTCCCATAAGAAATAATGTAAATCCAATTAAACCATTCCAGACGCCCAAAAATATTAACAAAAAATACATTTTATAGAGAATAACTATAGTTTTACATACAGAAAAGGAAGGATGAAATTTGAGGGTCCACATAGCTTTAGAATTGGACAAGAGTCTAATGCTCTGTTAATTCATGTGAGAGATTTTAACCATTCAGTTGATTCTCAAAATGCTGAGAAAGTTGTATCAAGCAAGTCCATGGTCGAGAAAAATATATGATCAAGCTTCACAAAAAATAGTTTTGAAATTAATATCAATATTAGTTTAGGATTATAGAAATTAGACTCATTTATAATTAATAAAATTTGGGAAGAATTTAAGATATATTCGACAAGATAAAATCTTAAATCTTGGAAGGATATAAGCTATGTTTAACAGATCCTTGACCACCTCACCTGTATATCATAAAAGGTTTGTGTGTACTGTGTTGACAGTGAAGTGTAATCTCCCACTTATATGCCTTTTGCTAAGCATTTTTTATTGTTCCTTGGTAATGTGAAAAATCATGAAAGGGGTTGTATACTCACTTTTATTTTCATGTTGGTTGTTCTGCACATTGTGATATCACTTGTGTACTGTTATCTTATTGTATATGTATATATGTCGTGCAAAATAGGTAAAACTGGTCAGTTAGCAAGAACTCATTTAACATTACATCCTTTTTAAATTTTCTCTTATACGCTTAAAAATATATATTTTTTCATTTATTTTAATGTAACAATTGATAATTTTGTACCAAAAGCACGTTAGAAAACTTACCTAACCTTATTATAACAAATACAATTTAATTTTTTCTAATCCAACTAAATATATTTTAGATAAGTTTCCAATAATTTAATAATAAACAAGCACAAATTTTCGCTTGCCTTATTCGGCAAGAAGAGCATTGCTATTTAAGCCAAAATTGCAAGTTTTACTTATTTGGCCCAACATATACAAAAACACAAGCACAAGGAGAGCTGAATTATAGCTCTAGGCCTTTCGTGTTGTAATCAGCACATCATCAGGAGCCTCCAATGTTGCAGGAATAGAGACCCCAAGGGGAAGGTTCATGTATAATATGTATATATATATATATATATATATATATATATATATATATATATATATATATATATATATATATATATATATATATATGCCAGTGCTGGCTTTTGTGAATAAGATACTGAGTATGTTATATTGTAAGTGGATATTTATATTTTCGGGTATGGTAACATTTGCAGTATGATGTCAGTGCTTCAGTTATACCTTCATGGGAGGCGCATCCATGCTGGTGGCAGGCTCCTGATTCAAGGAATTGGTCCAAGCCTTTTTTTCCTTTGGATTGATTCTGATTGCCTCTTATTCCCATAGGTTCACTATGACCCTTATGCGTTTAGAGCTCCCTTGGTTAAAAACAAAAGCTCCAATATCTTATAACTGTAATTTGGCGTCCTTTATCGTGTCTCCATTATCTACATCCGTTTCCATAAGATATAGATACTGGAGTCAATGGAGTTTTATGTGTATTTCATATGTTTGAAAAGACTGTAGTATGAACAATTGATAATACTAATAATTATCTATTTTCATATAATGTTTTGTTACACTTAGTCTGTACTGTCGTAAAAGTGACCTCTGATGGTTATCTTTATTTGCCTTCTTATTAAATCATAGTTACATGAACACAGTTTGAGTATTTATAAAAAATGGTTTATTTCCAATAAAAGAAATAAATTTATAGGCTTAATTTCACAAAGTTTGATGCCTAAAAAAAATCCCAAAGTTAGTATGAAGCAGAAGATGAGCTGAGCTTGGGCAGAGATCAATATTAAATGTAAATATGTCTTTAGGAATGTTTGTTTCAGAAAATGATTCTTCAGAAAAGTTAATGTTACCAGCTGGAAGCAGTGATCCCACCGATGTTACTTGTGATGATGTGCCTGCATTGCAAACTATGATGTACTGCATCAAGACCAGCATGGAATGTAACTTATGATGACCAACATGGAATGTAACCACTGAAGTCCAGCATGGAATGTAACTTATGATGACCAACATGGAAAGTAACCACTGAAGACCAGCAAGGAATGTGATTACTGAATATTAGCATGGAATGTGACTACTGAAGACCAGTATGGAATGTGACTACTGAAGACCAGCAAGGAATGTGATTACTGAATATCAGCATGGAATGTGACTACTGAAGACCAGTATGGAATGTGACTACTGAAGACCAGCAAGGAATGTGATTACTGAATATCAGCATGGAATGTGACTACTGAAGACCAGCATAGAATGTGGCTACTGAAGATGAGTGTGGAATGTGACTACTGAAGATGAGAGTGGAATGTGACTATTAATGACCAGCATGGAATGTGACTACTGAAGACCAGCATTGTGAGACCTTTACCCACTTTGCCTGAGGTATCCCAGAAAGTGTGCACGTCTCCTGTGTTATCCCAGTGCTTCACAAAAGGGAATAGCATATGAAGGTACAAATAAAAATGGGAACTATTGCTAAAGTTTACTTAACATAAAAGGGCCCAGAATACGATGTATCCTGATGGAAATTTACATAAGATAACAAATGACCTATGAGACTTATTACCAGAGGGAAGGATAGATGTTATCAGTAACACGGACTAGTACTCACTCTTAATTCACCAACCAGCTGACCAGAGATTC